TAATAATGCTATTTAAAAAAAATAGTCCATTTACGTGTATCAGTAAAACTTGATTTACCTAAGGTTTTTGCTATCTTAACAACTTCTTTCGGTTTTTTTTTCCGTTTTAAATCTGGTGCGTCTGAATTACAAGAACACAATTTCTTTTATAGGCCTTTGCATGCACTTCAAAGGGAACCTTATGGGTTAAGGAGAATGGAGATACTGCGTCATCCTTTACCCAGAAACGAAATACGTAGCATAGATTAAGATAACCAGGAATAAATAAATAATCAATTGTATTATTAGTCCTGTTGCATTGTTTTCATAAGAAGCGTTCGTGGTTAGAGACTGCATAGGTGACCTCGCATGAAATTGTTTGCCATTTATGATCGATGCGTTGACGCCGTTGCTTCGTTAGACGAATGACGTCGCCAAGTAATATCAAAGCACCTCAGGTATGAATGAACCTTGACGCAAGCTAGGTTAGCCATGACTTTGTATGTATATATCCAACACTACGTGAGGTACTTGTCGATCGTCTAGCTCTTATAATACCTGCTCATATGAATTCGCTGGAACGCGTCGAAGGCAGCAGAGAACCTTATTACCATGGCTCGTTATCATGCTCCAGGTGGTGGCAGGTGCTTAGCCCTTCAAGTTGGGATCACTCCTTTAAATCTCCAGATTCATTCAAGAGCTGAACCATACCCAGACGATCTCATCTTGAAGCCATCGTCCTCTTCACTGGCCCATTGTGCTCAACCAATCTGGCTAAGTAAAGCTGCTCCCCCTGTCAAACCGGATTGCGGCGCTTTCCTTTCATTGCTGTCGTCTGAGTGGCAAGCAGCTGGCCCTTTAACTATGAAACCGAAGATGTAGTAGATCCCATTGCCCTAGCATCTTTCGCTGCGGGTATTTTTGGTTTTGTGCTAGAAGACGTCTGCGTATACAAATATATTGCTATGTAACAGTAGTGCGTATGAGATATCTTCGATCTAAGAAGATGGGAAGAGACACGTAAAAGATTAAGAAATAGGTAGCATCAAAAAACGAGGTTTGTGGGTGACTTACAGAAAATGTGCGGTATCCACCTTCGTTGCATCGGTTATATAGTGTTGTTGTCAATGGTAAGGTACTAATGACTCTATTGCCTTCTCTCTTGTCCATTCGCTCAGCAGTATGGTAACATGGTAACCCGTGACTTTGTTGTCACGCAGAGGAGAAAAATCAGCAAGCATCAGTTAACGTTTACCTTGATCAGATCTCGAACTCATGATTTGTCTTTTCTACACACATGCTTGACATTGCCGCAGCATTCAGGTCTGCTGGAGACTTCAGCGCAGACAAGTTAAACATTAAGTTACCGGTCTTGCTGCTTGCGTAAATACGTGCCAAATTTATTGTCATCTGTGAATGTACATTCTATAACACTTGTGTACATACTGCTTTTACATCTATACGCCATGCAAGACAAATGACGCAGTCTCGGTTTATTAGCTAGATGAGCTACTTTCGAGGACATGAACCTATGCAAACATTGTCGTTACGGCCCGTATCTGATTTTCAGACTAGCTAGTTGGGATATTATCAAAAGATACAGGTTCCTATGTACGTATGTGCAACATATATGCATAAATATAGAAAGCATACAAAAATAGTATTATTAGGATAATAATTGGAACCGCGAGTACTCCCCAATCATCGCAGTTCTGCAGCACAAGACGCAAAAACAGACAGGCAAACATGTGTATCTAAATAACGGCTTTATGCCTGGCGTGTTTGTAGATACAAATATGTAGACGCCTGTCTGTGTAAAATAAGTCTGATGTACTATATAATAGCAAAATCAATCATACTAGGGCAGGTTAAGAGAGCTCAGGCAGGGTTAAGTAATAATGTCAGGCTGACGCAAAAATGATTGGTTTGTGACAAGCGACTAGATGAAGAAAGGTAAGGCCTTTTCATGAATGATTGCCTAGAAGTTAAGTATTGATAAGGCTAATCGTCACCACCATGGGAAATTAATTGAAAATTTCTGCTGTCATTGCTAAAGTTATGACATAACTTCGTAGTTTGGAACAGATTTAAATCTTAGACGACGGTTGCCCTCGCGTAAGGTCAAAAAAGTGATGATTCTATGTAAAAATGCTTGACCTATGACGCGAACAAAATAATGTACGGACGATGCGTTAATAGCGGTACAGAATCCGCAAAGTATTATCTTGTTGTGCACAATACGTTATTTAGTATTGGGATACTGACTATAGGTAGGATCCGCCGCTTGAGGATGCCATATGAAATGTATATGCAGTCGACTCAAAAGCATTTGGTGAAACAAGCATGTCATGAAAAGAAGTCTTCATCAAAGCACAGCGTTCGGAATGCTTCTCAGTATACATATTAGGCATTGTATATACTGTTTCGTAAATACACCGCAGTCAAGGGTCGATAAACATAACAATATTGGTCCAGGTAGGCAAGCGTTTGGCCTTTCCCTTGACTGAGCCATTCGCAATTCGGTCACAGAGCAACGCCAATAGGTAGACCTGCAACTAGGCACCGAAAAAGTACGTATCTCTCCTGAAAAGGTAGAAGACTACGTTATAAAATATGAACGTTGACGTTAACATCTTTATTATATATTTGTATATTTAAATAAGAAAGCCAACAATACATGTTTCTCGCTGAGCGAATGTTGTTCGCTCTGGATCCATACGTAAACACCCATACTCTTACGGAGCTCTTTGTTGATATCAATAATTCGACAATAAACAAGGGATGGGCAATGCCTACGAGCAATTAGTAAGACGTAACAAAATGCCTGGTTCGAACAACAGCTATAAATAAATCAACATTAACGCTGATTAAATATTTACCTAGAGTCTAATCTAAAAATTGGCGTAGCTTTAGAATCTGCGTGTGCAAATGAGTACAAAAGTAACGATGACAGTAGATATAATCTAGATAGGCCAACCTATGCAGAAAAAATCGAACATACTCTTGATAAACACATTGAGATGAGATACACTGCTAATCTAAGTATGAAAAACAGATATAGGCATAGATCTGGTGGTCCAGGTATACTCCGAGGAAAACTAGTTACTGTATTAATGCCGAACGAAACACATCTAACTGGGAGGCAACTGTCTCCTACGTTATATGTGCAGGACCTCAAATCGAGCAATCGTACGTAAAAATTTAGACTAAGGTGAAATCGGTATTCTGATGGCTGACAACCACGTAATGGAGGTCTCTGATAAAAATAAAGCCCGAGGGGCTGCCATTGTTAAGACGGATGTTCAGACCTCAGTTTTCAGATCAACACAAAGTAATAAAAGACCTCAAAATCTGTATCATTTCAAGATCAGGGAAACTGAAGTTTATACCGAACAGTAACTGCAATGTCCGTATCTCGGTTATATTATCAATAACGAAAAGGATTACAGGAAAAGGCCCATAGGATCACTCACTCTCAAAATGAGACTATCCATGATAAAAAAGAAAAAAAAAATGCGACTGAAGAAATACAAGACGAAAATACCGATATCTGAAAGTGCATAGTTATGTACACAAGTTACACCGTTCTTGGATGACCACAGAAACTTTAAGAGACAGCAACGAAGAGAGGTGCGTCCTATTAATATAAAACTATAATTTGACAAAGTAGCAACTGAGTGATTGAATGGTAGAAAAGAGAAGCAATTCATTAGTACGACACCAACACGAATCATCGCAAAAAAAGAGGAAACATTTTGGGAACAGTACCAACTAAGTCCGCTACAGGACTAAATGCAATGCAGGTAGCCGGCCTCAGAAAACTTATAGACACTGAACAGAAGCTGCAATCACCCCTCAAAGGGGTACAGAAAATTCAATCACAGTTTTCAGACAACTCCTGCCAGGAAAGTGCGGGTCTGTAGCAGCTTCGGAGTACCAGAAGGCGTTAGTATAGTCAACTTAACATAAAAAAATGCGATGCAAATAATGTCAACAACCATCAGAAAGGTGTTTGAAAGCGACCAGAGGGTCCTGACAAATTTCAGCTTCATTATATCAAATCATATTATCGTAGCAGAGTTTCTTGACAATAATTATAATCCGCACTTTGGAGCAATATTAGACCCACAATAAAATTAGGTTTTTTTTTTTTTTTTTTTTACAGAATAGACGCAATATCATACCAACGAAGATCCAAAGATCTACTGAAAATAACTACAAGTCTGAGGAGTAAAGTTGACGCAGTATACAAGAAAGCCGGAAAAATAACACTAATGGCATAAGAATATAGAGGTGGCGTTTCGGTCGTTGGGGGACGAAGAGCCGCTTCCAAACCAGAATTTAAAAGTTATCGAACTAGATCATCTGAGTGAAAAAGAAGCTTTTCCAGGTTTAGTAACAACAAATTTATTTTATCGACATTTACCGAGTAGTTTTCATCAACCTACGGACATATAGCATGCTCAGGGTGACTCTCTCTGAGCTCTAGAACAAAGGAGCAGTTCATAATATTATATCAACCTCATAGTGTCACTATATACCTTCGTTAGCATACTAAAATAAGCACGCATTGTGCCAAACGCGAAATGGTACCAAAGACAACAGTACATGTGGCATGTGGTCGTCTGGATGAGCCAGTATTGTTTACCATATGACTGTTAGAGGAAATAGATTACGCTGCCCTTCAGGACATAAAAAGGCTATTATGGACTTTAGAATATGACACTTTAGACGATGACGAAGCTAATCGTCCGGTTAGTTCCGCGATGGAATTGGTGATACGTACGGATAGCTACTACCATATTACACCAATCTGTAACATATGAAATAGAATATCTATATATATGTATATAATATAATATAAAAAACATTCAAAGTAAACAATGGCATGTCGCAGATTCTCTTCCCTTTTACATTGTCAGAGAGACATCAACGAGTCGATGATGAACAAGAGAGGACCCATCGATGTAAAGCGATCATCCGCGCAGCAAGGAGATGAACGTTCGCGTTGTTATAGTTGCTTTCTCGGGAAGTTGGCCTCATTGTACGTACTTTATTCGGCTTTCGAAGGAAGAATCGACTCCACAGATTCCTCTATCGCGCTACTTGGTAATAAGACATATTAGATAGATCCTTGTATACACTTGGGTTTACAGTTCGATTGACAGCTATAATCATCGATCAAAGAAGATAAAATCACTATTTGGTGCAAGGAAGATGTGGTACACAAAGTGCCATAGGCAAAAATAGCAATGAAGAATGCATCTTTTCTGCTATAAGCGCAAAACACTGCTTAGATCCTTAGGTACATGTAGTGTATTTATTAGTTATTCTTTGACAATTTATTTTTAATTAAAGAAACATTTACATATTTCCCAATTAGTGAAAGTTCGAAAAAAGGTAATAAAGAAAATGTGCGTATGTAGTTATTATCCAAATGATGACGAAACATTATTACACAAGACAGAGCATCCTTATTTATCCTTAATTTATTTAAATGTATCCGTTAAATAAGAAACTTTAATGTCCTCTATTTAACGTGTTCGCCCACCCATTTTGAAGAGGCGCGTGATATATTTATTATATTATCGAACCAAAGTCGTCATAATAAGACTGCTGAAAAGCAAAGTTGGATCTCGCTCTAAGCGAACATAAAAAAAGTATTTAAAGTGCCAGTAACTTTACAGCTTAATTATTTACAGTCAATACTTAAGGGTAGTATACTTTTGATTCTGTAAGGCCAGTAGCTAAGCTGTATGTAACGTAGGTTAATATATTAAAAGACCCACTTCGGCAGGTTATGAGCCCGGTAGGGACTTTTCGAATTAAGGAACGTGTAACGAACATAATCTACTAGACAATTTAGCACTCAAAATTATAGGAGAGTTACAATCGGCGATCTTTAATGCTATAACGCCGGAGTTACAGACCATATTTGTGGTGACAAACATCACTCAGCAATGCTGAGAGCTATTTATTCGATTTTTTCACACAATATCCACTAACTATTGATAGACGTTCAGCTCGAACAAGAAGGTTGCAAAATACAGATACTTACCGTACATTAATGAGGTGAGAAGAGAAATAAGATTCGGAAGGCTGTGATTCGAAAAATGTCAACATCGGAGAGGCTTTGCGGGCAGCCGATTGATATTGAACATCGTTCCTTTGTGCTAATTTCCCCTGTACCGTAACAAACACACAAAGAAGTATGCTTAAATGGGTTATTTTTCTACGTCTTTTACAAGCTGACTCCAAGACCTAGCAAATAGAGGTAAACGTGGTGTAAATTCGACAAATAATAAATCTCGCCGCTCTCTTCAGAATTCGAAACGCTTCCTCATAAGCGTCCACTAGCGAATGCGACGCACATCATGGATGGTTTCTTTCAGCGATGATGGAGGACTGCCGGGGCCTTCGCCTCCAATTTCTTCTACGAAGCAATTGTGTAAAACAGGAGGGTCAGAGGTGACAATGTCCCTCTGAGAAAATCCTAAAACTGCTTAGCTATGCATACAACACTCGTTTTTTGTGTGAGCGTCCTGAGGTGTGGGAATCCACATAACGTTCAACTCGACTGATGTCTGGAAGTCACCGATACGAGAGTGTATCTGTAATATAAAAAGCAGGCCAGAATGACTTAACGGTCTTCGGTTATGTCGTCATTGAGCTCATCATGCGAGGTCTTGCCATGCGTGAGTAGAAGGACAAATATGCATGGGATAACCTTTCCTTGTTAGTATTCCCATGGGATATCAAGGGAATAGTCATTAATTATCCTCATTTAGGTCAACTTTGCCCCATATTTCGACATTAATATCTACACCATGTTATATACCTAAATTTCTACCAAAAGAGACGGTTTAACCTCGAACTGTAGCTTCTACACAACGAAGTAGCTGTAGGTTGAAAAAACCATTTTGATCAAGTAAAAAAGTAATCCTCCTTATGAGCAACTATTTTTGTATCACTGCCACAAAAGAAACGACGATAATTATTGTTATCCGTTGCCCATGTAGACCCAGAAGTTCATGCAATCTTTTTTTTACTGGATTTGTTCCGCACTTAAACAGAAAGTTTTAGGTGTCTCAAAAGCGATCTTTTCGCACACATCTACAATCAACTAGTTATTATTAGCTAGCTTATCAACATATTCAATTCAGAGTTAGTCATATTTTCATCTATTATAGTATCAAAAATAAAATTTCGTGAAATTTTGGCCTGCTATTCCGTATATTGGCCAGACATATGTCAAGTTACTAACTTCCAAGAGTCTTGATCTATTCCAACTTAGAAAAATGAAGCCATTACACAAGCGTCTGACTGTAACTTCTAGTATGTTTTACGAGTCGTTCTGCAAGAAAAGAGGCGCAAGCATGCTTTTCAGCCTATAAAGTGACCACATGAACTAACAATTTTGGATAACTTTTTAATTAAACGAGGGTCTTCGTCTCGTAACGGAATCGTAACCAGTTTTTAACATCTAAGTGTTTCTCTTTATTTTGCCTAATAATGAAAACAGCAGTTACTTAGGACGATTATCTAACGGAACAAATGGGTGGCATTCTATATATCTGTCCTATACAACAAGTACTGCTAGCGCAAAAACCGTTTGCCCAAAACAGCACTAAAAACTCAGCCCTTGTTTGATGATAGCTCTGTTTTAGAGGGAAAACCAGAGAGAGATTAGTAATATCTGTTCCCAGTGATATATAGATTCTATCCGTTTTTACATATGCATGTATGAACTGTGAAGAAGTTTTTTGTTCCATCGAGTTATGGTCTTTCGAAATTGCCATGTTGTGTCCTAGTGATGGTTTACCTATATGAAAGGCATTCTTGCCCTAGCGAGAACTTATCAGAATAGCGCTTTGTTTAATCAGCGTAAGTGTTTACAATGTGTTGGTAAAGTAATATAGTTTAAGTCTGGTTTTTGATCGGGGTTTCTAGACCAATAGTACCGCACAACCAGTAATATCCTGCTGCTATTTTTCTTGATTGCCTATGGGAGATATCGGTTTCGGTGTTCAGTCATATGTTTCACCGAAATAAGAATGAAACCTTCAACTTGTCAACGTATCTATTATCACTGGGTCACCTGAGTTAAAACGCTGTTATTTGTTCGACGTTAGATGAAAATTAAGTTCGCCAATTTCCAGGATACTTATATTCGGTAACTATTATAAGTGGCAAAGTGATAATTACTATCTAGACTGCAATATTTAACTTGCTATTTCACCCTGCTCGCACTTAATTTGGAGATGGTATCTATTAACTTATACGTTTTCGTTATGTACGTTAAATACGTCGTTCAACTATAACATCTGACTCGTGCCACCTAGACACGATAGTTAGATTTTTTGGTTTAGACTTTTTAAATGTTTTCGATCGATCATTTTTAGTCGTTAAAAAAAGAAAGGTACCGAATTGTGGTCAGTCGTATGCGAGTACACGGGTGCAGCCCGGGTTCGTTGTGCCAGATTTGTTAGCGCGATAATGCTGTGCATGAGCTGATTTTTAAGAATTTCCTTAGAATAACACAGAATGATAAAGAAGCAAAGTTTGGGGAAATTTAATTAGTTAGAAAAAGCCGAGGCTCAAATTTATCGAGACGACAGTTGTCGTATCCTAAGGTCGCTGTAATAGATAGCAAAGCAACTTGTGATCTTACGGCCACGAACGGCTGTTGTCTCGCTTTTATTTCGCCTCCCAACGCTAACCGAGAGGAGTTGCGTTAAGCGTTACCAGTCCGTCTACTCAAATCGGCCAGATTCCGCCATCCGATCAGGCGGCCGCCTTCCAAACAGCGACCGACAGTAGCGGATAATTGGGGCAGCTTTCGCCTTGTTCCACCTTTAAGTTTTCCTGCGTTGGGGTCCACCTGCTTCTGCTTTCACTGGCATGCAGCAGTGACTAGAGCAACTACAGGGGAAAGCCGCAGCAGCATTAAAGGAAGAATAATTCATGTTCGTGCTGGCCGCTTTCACTGAGGGACGCGGCAGTTAATCATCGGCGTCATCCCCGTTAGACGGCATCAATAACCGCTACATCGCCGACGATCAAATTGTGGCCGAACGGGGACCGGTAGAAATAGGGGGAAAGAGGCGAAGTGTAAAAACCACGGGCATCGCTGGTAACGAACTCGAGCCAGGTGAGACGTAGTAGCGCAATGACGGGCAGAGAAAGCTGGCCAGATTGGCTGGTATCTAGGCACATCAGGAATACATATGAACTTTGCGAGAAAGCGAGACGAACGCAGAGTAAGAAGAAGGAAACAACATGAATGAAATCAGGTAACCAAAGCGAGCTCGAAGAAAATAAAAGAACAGCACAAGGATTCGAGGAAGGGAACAGAAGCGAAAGGCCAAAATGGTTTGAGAGTGCATGAATAAAAAGCACTAAAAAAGCTAAAAGGAAATGAATAGAAAGGCAATCAGTAGGGCAAACATAAACATGGAGTTTGCTAGTGTTGTCTCCTTTTCTGTGCCATAGAATTGGGGCTCGATGAAGACCCTTTTCGCTGGTACTATGCAGTGGCATTGGTGCATGGCCATCAACACGTCCGTATAGCTTCGCCGGGTTGTTACACTTGACAACGGCCTGGACACCGTCATTGAAAATTGATGGGGAGAAAAACAAATGAAGAAGAAGTTATCGCTTGATTTGGAAATCTGACAGATAATGCGACGTTGGTGACAACTGCGTTGGGACAAAGTTTGACCGTGAGTTTCTCAAGCTTATCGCTGCATTAGCGGGTAATTTAAATGAATTCTTTTAATACTTCACCAATATAAGATGATGATTAAACATTTCCTTAAACTTTAATAAATTGCTTGCAATTTTATCATTTTCGCTTTAATGCGATTATAATGAAACCTACCTATTATCTTGTGCATCATAACCGCTATCTTCACAAAAACCGGACTATAACATTATATTGGGCTGTCACAAGCGAATCCGGCAGACTTTAAAGTAGTTGGGCTAAACTTATGATTTAATGTCTGTCTACAATATTACAAGTTCTCTCCCTGTCTTTTTAAACACTTTTCTTAGCGCTCTGGCAACTTCTGAACAGTCCCATACCTCCCATTTGCGTTTCCATATGTAACTTTTTTTTATCTATGATTTTTCGAAGAATAGTGGAATATGCGTGCCCATTAGTGACTTTTTTAGGGCACCGTAATCACACGAACTTACGTTGGGCAAATAAGCAGGTTGAATCCGACGTTCGATATTCCTTGGAAGTAACTGAAGCATGGCGAAGAGGTTTGACGTTATCATCAAGGCTGTGTGCTTTCGATTACTGTGCCAACGGTCGGTGAATCTTTTGAGAAACCTGAAACAACGGCCGCATTCACCGTTTCATTTTCGACACATGTCTCATAATGGCAAATGCCCTTGCAAGTACTGACTTCATCTTACGTTTGAATCTAACAGATATTGCCATTAAACTCAGTGTCTTTCTAGGGCCACGCTTTTCTCTCGTCTAATCTCTCTCCACCTAGCGGTTATGTTTAGTCTGTGTTGATTAGTTTTCCGCAAATCGCGTGTAGGATTCACCACACCTGTTCCCAAGTGGCCTGCATTCAATCCGCGTGGACCATTTCCATAATCAGTATTTTCACTATTTGGGTTATAACCCTGTAACACAATAAAAAGTTGACAATTGAGCGTTAATTTTTGAAACTATAACACGTTTTTTTTCTCTTAAACTAATTTATCCTTTAAATGATAAAAACATCGGTTTTTGTTCATATATTCTGTTGACTGATTGATGAAATTGGGATATTTAGCAGTCAAATTTCATGTGTTAGCATCGTCTAGCTCAAACATTGTTCCGTTTTGACGTCCGCAAGGTTCGCTTGTAATGGCCTAATGATTGAGATTTGTTAGTGTTAAACTGAACTAGAAGCTATAATTGCGATCTATTTTGAGCGGTACTTAATTTATGGAAAGGCCAATTTGTCATGATTCAAGTGAAAAGAGGTTTCTTTTGTCCGGGGTAGAATACAATGCTAGAAGGTAACCGATGTGTCTTGAACTGAGGTACGACGCAGTCATAGATAGCTTCCCTCCTGTAGCTAAAAACTGGCCTAGCTCGTTGAGTTCTCCGTCGTATGCAATTTCATTTTATTCTTGAAAACCCTATGTACATGGGAAGGTGTAACTTGATTTCGCATTTATATCCTTGTTGTTTATTTCAAGTCCAAACAAACGCCTCAATATAATTAATAAGACGCATGAATGGCTTCAAGATAATTTTACATTTTAACCGTATGTACGAATAGACAAATTTTAAAATCTGCAATAGGAAACTGTAGACCCAAAAGTAGCCAGCCATCAAAAATTTGATCTGTAATTGTTTTTATGCAAAGTTGAAACTTTTTTTTTCCCTAAAATGCTTGCGGCCGGTGACACGGCGGGTGCTCTATTTTGAAAATGCTAACAGCCAAGAGGTATAATAATAATAATAATAATCAGTTTTGACGCTTTGCAATGGTGTAAGCTATAATAGGGCCGAGTCCAAATGGAAATCGTAGGGGTAAGCCATGAAATATCACCTTTTAACAAATGCATCCTTCGTCAAGTTATACTTGTCTAATTGTAAATACGAGTTAGATAAATTAGCCTATGAGTCAGCAGGTTTTCGAATACCTTGGACATTATGTTTCGATTCTGTACTTTGCCTATTTTACTTTGTTAGATCATTTCTGCCTCTTCGTTTTTGCACGGGAGGTAAAAGTGAAACAGAAAGTAAGGATAAGTGGGTTTTCTCGACAGGTTTTTTTCTAAACAGTTCCCCGATGGTGTACGGAACGCAGCTGTTGTGTGCGCTAATGGCTGTGTAAGCTAATGGCTACCCAACAAGCGACGCTGTCTGAGATGTTGATTGGGGCCTGGACTACTCTTTTAGTCGACTTCTAGAAAGTCGGCCTTGGCGCGAGAGGCCAAGAGATAATTGTACAGCACACAGAACAGCAGCGCGCTTGTTCAGCAGCTTCGATCAGTAATTTGCGTAAAACTATTAAACTGGAGCAACGTTGGCAGGTCGTTAAAAGAGAATGTTTCATCTCCAGAAAGAACACACTTCTTCTTCAGAAAAGATCCCGTTCATAAACAAAAAAACAAACAATTACGGTTGATGTTGATCAGGGATTCTTGCCAATCGTTCCCGCTGCTGCTGCTGCTGTTGCGTATTCTATTACAACAAAAGCTGTGATCGCTTTGAGTTGTTAGTCCAGCCGGTACTTTACATATTAGTTTGCCCTCAATCGCAGAACTACCCCACAACCGTAATTTCTATACTTGTCGGACTGATATAATTAGACAAGAACCTTCTGCAAGCGCAAAGGGCAGAATGGTGTGGTTAGTTGTGCCAAACGCATTAATTTCCGAAAGGATCCTGTCGAATTAAATTTATCACTTAATGTATCATGAATACACAAAGGTTCAAAGTTTTCCTGAGCTGTAGTCTTTTCACTTCACCTCTGGGGTATCGTTTTGGCGGAAAAGAACTTAATACTACTAATAACGGGGCTGATCAAACCCTATCTAGTATATTATACTTCGGCGCCGTCAGCGAGCGGCTTCAGATTTAATCAGTTAAAATATTATTCTAGACAAAATATGATAACAATTTGCTTTGAGCTTTTTTGCCTCCCATTTAAATTACGCACAACAATTTGGGTTTAAAAAGCGCGTCAACATACGTAGAATTCTCTGAAAACTGTTATATAGTAAAGCGGATGAATGAAAAAAATGTGCGAACGTGGATGTTTTACACAAAAAGAACGGAAGAAGGATAAAAATAATTGGTGGCGGGTATTTTTGAATTAGTTTTGTACATTGTTTCTTTAGAGTTCCTTGCTACAAGTTCACATAAATATGCGTTTAGACAGCAGCATCAAATGGAGAGATCACGATATGATATATTGTCGCATATTGCTGTATGCTGTTATAAAGAGAATTAGCGACGATCTACCCGATGGGTCCAGTTGACTATGCATATGTTATCTTGACGTTGTGCATATATGCGCATTCCCAAGCATATACGAGTTACCGTGTCAGGATGATATTTGAATTTACTTATACGACAAAACAGGAGCAAGACAAAACGTATGACGGTTCAACTTGCCTCATGTCTGGTGAGGTAGGGTTAGGTTTATTCGTTACAGTCGGCTGACCTAGAGCAGCAATGGTAGCAATAAGAGACCTTGCGAAAGCGTTCCATCACACTTTTCTACAGCAGGAACCCGTACAACAGCGTTATATCGTCCACTGCGGAATCGTAGCACGAGTAAAAATGCAGATCCGCCTAAACAGGCCTACTAAAGGTTATACGCAACTCTCTCTCTCTCTCTCTTTCCCTCTCGCATCGTGCCAATAACGCGGCAAAAGTTTGAGATAGGGTGGACAAAAATTGTTTCGAAATTTTCCGCCGGCACGACAAAGCAAGCAGAGAATGCCGCTATGTCCTACAACGGCTTCGACTGGTCCTGCTAGAGCAGGGCAGACAACATAGGGCCAGGCAACTCTAGCTGACTCTGTAGCTGCACCCGTGTGTAACAAGGTCGCTATGACGTACCAACTGTCCGTCATCCTCGCTGCGACGGGCTAAATGAACGTTTGTAGTTTAAAACAAGAGTAAAAAATAATAATAATAATATCGATCTGTTTGGGGTCTTGTGAGGTGACGATGCAATTAGGGTAATATTTAGGTAGAGACTAGCAGATAAGTGCAAGGCGCGTACCAACACGCACTGGACAATCGTCGTTAATTAAATCAGTAATATAGTGTGCCACAAATGTCCTGTAGGGACGTCTTAACGTCACAATAGTGATGTTAATTGATTAATAATGCACCGCTATTTGTGCGAACTTAACAATCAGAAGGGGAGAACTGTACCAGTCAATTAAGTGGATAAATGTGCTATTTTAAACACAAGTAGTATATGTTCGGCGGCTGATCCTATAAGCTGCGGCGTAAGCCGCGAATAACAATCCAGGCCATTGCTAATTCGATTTTGCCGGGCTTCAACAAAGAAAGATCGCGAAAATCCACTTCCGTGCATAAACACATGGCATAGCTATAAACAATATAGATAAGGGTCAGCTTGCAAAAATATACGTTGAGCAAATATGATTTATCAAAGATAGCTGGGTCGTTAATATCACGTTTATTGTCTATGCCGTTCAGAGACGACTTTTCTAAGGCTGACATATGTGATTTTTTTCTTGGCTCATTATGCTAGCCACCCAGGGACAATGTATCAGCTACGTGCACGTTAGCAGAGGTACCTTCAACCCTTAAAAGAGACATGGATGTAGATTAACTGCTTTCTGTGATACTTTATCTGTGTCTTTCCAGAGTCGTTCTTTCCTTTTAGGATACGTACATACATGACAGGATAATCAATAACAATATACTACCAATTGTGCTTCACCTGCATCGAGTACGTTTTGATTTAAAGCGGCCTGCTTGTTGGAAAGGATCAAACTAACAATGCTTTAGATTTTACTAGCAAACCTAGACATTTAAAGGAGGTTTAGACGGTTTTGAGAGGAATGAACCATGCAAGATTTTCAACCGTTTGTTGTTGGAAACACATATTCAAATAGTGCCACGTTAGTCTAAAGGAAAAAGAAAAACCTTATTTGACTCAAGAAGCGCTAAAGCGTGGCTGCGATCCTAAATAGTGTGAAGCAAGATTCAACACTTTCCAAAAGAAACTTTTCTATATACGTTTGTTGTTGATTCTAAATGCACAGCGCTATATTGATACGTATTTGCAAAAACAAATAGAAAGTACAAATATTATTAAAACACGAAAGATTACGCACCTTTATCATTAACACTCTGTAGTCATAAAAGGTAAATTTCTGTCATATATGTATAATTCTAGTCACTAGATGGTTTTGTCAGGTTTTTCGGTTACTGCCCGTTCGTTCTCATATAGCAACGGCCGGCGGCAAAACTTAATTAGAACTGACTCGATTAACAGGCCTGTTTCGCTTTGTCCTGATCAGAAGACAGGCCGTACATCACAGGCCGTCACCTAGCGTGAAGCCCAATAGCAAGCTAGAAAAATAAGTGGCAGTCCAAAAATGGGAAGCCGCTAAACGGAGGAAACGCCTATTTTTGATTAGTCAAGCTCTGATTGAATACGTTTAAAAATAGAATAATCGTTTTTGTGTAGACTTAGATGGAAATCAACTGGCACTTAGCCCTCTCGAAGCCAATGAACTTCCAATAAGAGAAGCAACTACAATGATCGTTAGGGTGCTCGATTACAGTTGTACTTTACCATTATTAAGTCAAACAGGCGTTTACAGTCTGAGCTGTAACATATCTTCCCTTCATATGGTCGCAGTTATCTTAGTTTCAACTCGACGTGGATGCCTCAGGTTCGGGATCAGACAGCGACGTTAGAAGCCATATTTACGCA